AGAGACAGTCTTTGAGAGAGTAAAGCAAGCTTCTTAGAAAGATAGATCTGCATCTTTATCAGAACTTAGTAAGCTTCAGCAGAGAGACGCCGTGCTCGCGTTCTGCAGGCAGGAGAAGTGACAGAGTCAGAGTAAGCAGGTCCGTGACAGAATGCACATGCTCCCGACTGCCTGGTCCTCCAGCCTAATATCAGGCTGATCTCGTGCCTCTCAACACCACAGGTGTAGAGACTGCCAATTCACCAATGCTCTCATCTCCTGAGCTCTCATGCTTGTTAGGAGAGCTAAATCCCTCTCCATGCCCTTTTCACCAAGGTCTTCCATTATTGAGCTATACAGGTATTTCTTATAACTCTCACTCCTCCTCGCCATAGGCTATACGGGCTGCTACACAGGAGCTCAGGCAGTCCACCCACCTCAACTTCCCAGAGTGCCTTTCTACTTGTTGATGGTGACAATGATAAATGAACATGGTTATAAAATACAGCTGTTAGAAAAAGAACAAATATGATAGAGTTGTCCGATCAAGTGAGATAGGGAGGCCGTAGACTCAGTTTCGATGCTGTGCTTTGCCATGCTCTTGTGCCTGTTTTTGCTTTATAATCACCTCCATTGCATTTCTCCTTGTAACACAGAACAGAAGAAGGAGACAGTGTCTTACTTTTCTCAGCCTCTTAAATATTTAGAAGATCACTAATTTACATTTCTTCAGTTTATTGGGGTCTGTTATTTATTATCCTGTTGCCATTTATGTAGGGCTTTATTCTTTTCATTCATGGCTCCCTCTATTTTTTTGTAATGCACTTTATCTTCACTGCAGTTGAGCCAGTAACTTTGGTAAATATTTTCTTATTCCTGTTTAGATCAAAGTGATAGATAATCTCACTGCCAAGACGGTCCATCTCCTGACAATGTTTAGTAAAAAAGCAGGTCTGGTTGGATTAGAAATTCACAAGAGCACCCTGGAGAAGAGAGCAGAGTCCTTGCCTCAAACGGAAGGCTGAAATCCCCTGAGGGGGTCCCTCTGTCTACCAGGGAGCTTCCTGGATATTCCCTCAGCGTCACCTTATGCTGCCTTTCTGAGACCCATGAACCAAAGAGTCTGTGTTGCAATAGGCTTCAGGTTCCAATATTCAGGCTGTGTTCAAGACTCATTTTGATCAGGGGCTAGCGTTTTCCGTCCTCCTTTATATTTGGTGCAATTAAAAACCCAAAGCAAAAGTAATCAGTTACCAAAGCAACAACTGCTTATTGGGGCCACTTCATTAAGAATGTTTATCTTTTTACGCCTTGTTGCTTTAATCTACATTTTGGAAATCCAATAATAGTAGTTTGAAAATTGTTGAAAATGGGACCTGTTTTTAATGTTGAAAACGTTTTAAATGTTGACAGTGGGACATTCCTCTCTATGCATAATTTTCAGGTCATTTAGAGATAGATATGCATATATGATAATTTTTGACTGCATACATATGGATATTACATTTTTTTTAACTTTGTGGTAGTTTCCCCTTATTTTGTTAATCCAGAACTCTTACCAAAACATCAAGGACTACATGTTCCATAATCATGGCATATATCTCAGAAGCCAGTTTTCCTGTAGTCTTCAGGTATCTGGACCACCCGTTCTGCCCTGCTAGGGGAAACTTTCATACCCTTCACCAGCCACTGACAAAATGCTGTCCTTTCCCCCTCGAAAGGGGTGCGCGTGTATTATATATCAATAACATGCACTGGGACTGGCCTCAGGAACTGCACAGGAAAGGGAAGAGAAAACCATTATACCATTTCTCAGAATGACTAAGGAAAATATGTCCTTCTTCCTTTGTGAACTATTTGACTTATCAGGGCGCCTAGGGAAAAAGTCCTGGTAGACTTGATGTTGAAGAGGATTTGATTACAGTCACACTCCAATGAGATTGCAACCAACAGTAGACATGACCCTGGTCCCATAAGATTGTAATACCATATTTTTACTGTATGTTTTCTATGTGTAGATATGTTCAGATACAAATCCCTCCCACTGTGTTACAGTTGCCTACACTTGTCAGTATGGTAATAGGTTCGTAACCTAGGAGCCCTGTCCATGCCACATAGTGTATGCACGCAGCTGGGTTCACTTAAGTGAACCTTGATCTTCACACAATGATGGATTCCCCTCAGGATGCATTTCTCAAACATCTCTCCACATGTGATTGTGCTCTCTCTTTCTCTTTCGCCTCTCAGTCTGCTAATTCTGCCACTTTGGGAAGCTCATCTCCTAAATGACTTATCTGCTGCTAAACTCCTTACCTCTCTAGACCCCAGTCATAAAATGCCCATAATGAAATTTATCTTTCTAATTCCCTAACCATTAACTTTACTGGTAGGCATAATCCCTGATACCTTAATGTCAGCTTGCTTTATATTTCCTGAAAGGACTTGTCTTTTTCTTTGTTTTTTCTATTAAATAATAGCAACCTGCATTTTCCTTTTAAAGGGCATGGCAAGGAAAGGGCTTTTTCTCTGGGAGAGAAAAAGAGGATGTTTTTTAAAGCCACTCTATTGTAATTCAGATATAGCCAAAAGTAAAGTTAAATCTAATACATAGCCAAAGTCCAAAGTCGTCTTTGAACTTACCTTACATGCTCATATTTAAGGACATATTTCATGTGCTAAAAAATTATTTTAAATGAAATAGAATTTTGAAAACATTATTTATAATCTGCTTTAAAAATAAGGTGCCTCCACTGGACTATAATCTATACCCATTGTATAAAGATCTTTTTCCGTCTAATTACTCAGACTTTAAAAATTAAAAAAAAAATCTAAGCAATTGAATTAGATCCAAATATTATATAATACCAATTAAACGTGATTATAAAAATATCAAAGCTCTTGATTTAAAAAGAAAAATAGCATATTTATGTGGGGCCCATATTTCTGATTCTAAATGTATTATTCTGCCGTTTCGAGGCATTTACTCCTGGTAATTCATGGCCCCCACTCAATGCCTTTCAATTCTTGCCCCAGCTCCTTCCATGGAGAGCAGATGTTATTTGAGACTGGCTGCTTTTGCCAAGGCTGGGACCACAATTTGCTTAGCTGTGGCATGTGGTGTTACTTATAGTTGGTCTGTAAATTTTCCTGTTAACTGGTTAAATTTCTCAAGTGGTCTTCCACGCTTAACAAAAAAACCATTGCCTTAAGATTTTATTCACGCCTTAATTGTGAAGTTTACACTAGATTATGAGCTGCAAAGGAAATTTTTGTGCGATTTTTTTTATTTTTCTAAAACCCAGGGCTATGCTTGGCACAGAATAAGTGATCAAAAACATGTCGAGGCTGGGCAAAGAGGTTCATGCCCGTAATCTTAGCACTTTGGGAGCCTGAGGCAGGAGGATTGCTGGAAGCCAGGAGTTAAAGACAAGCTTGAGCAAGACCCCACCCCTACAAAAGGAATGGAACAGTTAGCCGGGTATGGTAGTGCAGCCTGTAGCCCCAGCTACTGGGGAGGCTAAGGCAGGAGGATCCCTTGAGCCCAGGAGTGTGAGGTTGCAGAGAGCTATGACGATGCCACTGCACTCCAGCCCAAGCAAAAGAGTGAGACTTTGTCTCAGAAAAAAAAAAAGTATTGAGTGATTAAGTGCCGTTTATTGAAAGCAGCTTTATTCTATTATGCTGGGGACATAGAAGACAAGAAGGAACAAAAGTGAGCCCAGGCCTGCCTTCAGGGAGCTGATGGGAGGGAAATCTGACAGGGATTAGTCATACTAACAAAAACAGATTTCCAATGTGGTGGTGCAAGAGAGCAGAGGCACAAAGTGGGGTGAGGGTCCAGACTGGAAGATCGTGCTGGGAGAGACAGGATGGGCTCCCTGAAGATGCAACTTCAGTTAAGACCAAAGGATGATGAGATGGTAACTAGAGGACAAAGAGAGGACAGTTCCATTATGTCGAATTTCACCTCCATTCACTTCCTTCCCTCTCACTCGCGTGCTTCTGTCTTTACTGCCCCTTCCTACGTTTTCCTGCTACCTTAGTCTGCTGGCTATGCACGGACGTCTGCATAAATCTCGAGCACACCTGGGTCTCCTTTTAGACAAGGAAGCTAGAAGTTGAAGACCAATTGGAGATCTTCAACTTACCCTTCTGCTAAAAAATGTCAATATTATTTCAGAAATAAAGGATAAAATATCAAAGAAGGAAATGAATTAACAAGAACATCTCCCATATGCACCATTCACCCACGTGCATAAAGGAGGTGAAATTTGCCCATGAGAATAGAGAGGAACAGACCAAATTTAAAGGGAGGGAAGGGCGGAGGTTTGAAGAGGGAGGGTAAAAGGCGGGACCACATCTATGGAGCATATTGCAAGGGTACAAGTCAAATCTGTCAAGTGTAGAACATAACTGTCTTAGCATAATAATCAAGTAAATGAGGCAAAAGCTATGTTGATTAGTTTGATGTAACCAGGTCAGATTGTATTAAAAAAATCAACATATTGTACCCCACATAAGCATAAATGTATTCATGATCTATGTGTATATGACTTAATTAAAAAAAGAAAGAAAAGAAAAATAAATAGATCTAGGTCTGTATGTGCAAAGTGAAAGGATTATACAAGCAATAAACCCTGATTGTAAAAAAGAGGAGGTGAAGTTTACTGCACCTACTTCTGATTGTCTAATCTCTATCTCTGTGTCACAAATTCAGTAGCAAATTACTAAACACTTTTTTTTTTTTTTTTTTTTGGCGTTAGACTATACAGATGTAACCTGCATTGGAGAACTGTAGGGCAGGGTCTTTCTATCTCATATGCTGTTGGCTTAATTCCAGGCATGAAGTCTTTCATGAGCCTCAGTTAGTAGAGCTTCTCTATGCAGGGACCACTGCCCCATCTCTTCCAGCCATCGTCGTTAACATTCATGACTTCAGAGCTAGCTGCCCTGGCTTATTATCGTTATAAAGTCAAGACTGATGCATCTCTATGACTCATAAGCAACATTTTGTTTTTCAGCGCCGATTGGGAGATGCAGCAAAGAAAGCCATCAGCAAGCTCCAGGTCAGGACCATCAAGAAGGGTGACAAGGTAACAACCTCTTCTCTTTTTGATGAGGAGCTGTTCAAAGAAGCTTCTAATATTTCTGATAGTCAGATAGAAGAGAAGGAAGGATGGGGGAGGGAAATGCACAGTAATTGTTGTCCTCTGTGACTTGCAGTCTTCTTTAAACTGATTTAAAATAGTTTAGAAAGTGCATCCAATATTATAATAAAAGACTTGGGTAAAAAAGCAGAGAAATTGAAAAGTGTACACAAGCATACACAGGACCAGAACAAAATTATTAATCAAATGCATTACCAGAAATGTGTGACAGAAATGGGGCCCAAATTTAGGCTGGGGCTTTCTAGCAGCCAATGCAAAGAAGGAACACTATTTAGTTACCATATTCCAGAATCCCACTAGATAAAAACAAAATGGTTGCTCATGGTATTATGATCTGAGGAGATTTTCCATGAATCCTTGCAAGAAAGACAGCAATATGTGTTCAGCTGTGTCCTCCACGGAGCTCTACAGTTTAAATGCAGCAAGTGTATTAAATCCCTCTGATATCTAGTATATAGAATCCCAAAGTCATTGCAACAACTTCCATTAATCCAGAATAATGGAATAAAACCAAAAACAATAGCAGAACTTGAGAATGGACAACAAAGCATATAGGCCAGGCTTCCAGGCTTCTCATTCCTCAAAAGTTTCAGAGCAACTGAAACTTTTGATGATGATACCTGATTTGAGGCTCCCTGAGGCATTGTAAGGTATTCACAATCCCACACTTACAGCCAGTTTTGTCCTATTCTGAATAATTGATTTATCTCACAAATTATGTGCTATTATTTTTCAACTACATAAAAACTCTGTTGGCTTAATAAGATAAAATTCATTTAAAAGCATTATGACATTGAAAGTATATTTTGGTCATTACTTTCCCCCCCTCTCTTAGAGAATAATAAAAGTACAAGGACTGGCTCGGCGCCTGTAGCTCAGTGGCTAGGGTGCCAGCCACATACACCAGAGCTGATGGGTTTGAACCCAGCCTAGGTCTGCCAAACAATAATGACAACTGCAACAGAAAATAGCTGGGCATTGTGGCAGGCACCCGTGGTCCAGCTACTTGGGAGGCTGAGTCAGGAGAATCACTTGAACCCAAGAGTTTGAAGTTGCTGTGAGCTGTGATGCCACGGTACTCTACCAAGGGCAACATAGTGAGATTATGTCTCAAAAAAAAGTACAAGGACTGTTACATAAGTAATACATTACAAGATATTAAAAGAGATTTTTCAGACTTTTAAAAACTATTTATGTTTATATTTCTTTTATTAAATACAAACTAGGTCCTAGAGGAATGGGTAGGTTAAATATAATTCATCTAGTTCTCCATAAGTATTATTTCTCATCCCTGAGGTTTTGATATGTCACCTTTAGTTATAATTAATCATATTATCATCAATGGTACATTAGAAAATGGTTCTCCTCACAAAAGCACTCACAGTGGAACCTAGAAACAAAAAGTAGAAGTCGGAAGGAACGGAAACTCAGCCAATAGCTAGTAAATTATTGATTCAGAAGCTGGCACCAGGACTACTGTTGAAAGCTTTGCTGCAGGCAAGCTCTTCTGGTTTGGTGTGTGGGTATTTACACCAGAGTTGAAGCTGAGAAAGAAAGCTCATCTGTGCTTCCTCTGTTGCAGGAAACAGAGTCCGATTTTGACAACTGTGCAGTTTGTATTGAAGGGTACAAGCCCAATGACGTTGTCAGGATCTTGCCCTGCCGGTGAGTCACTAGGCTGCCCACTTTGGATTGGGTCATGTGAGGAGCCTGCCTGCTTAGCCTCCCGGCTCAGCCCTGCTGGGTCCAGCCTGCCTCCACATTTCCGCGTTTACATCGCACACAAACAAAACACTCTTGGTTCTGTACCACCTTTGCCCTTGAAATCACTTGTCTCATGAACTTAGAAATATTTTTCTGATCCCGTTTGCATCAAAGGAAGTTTACTGCTTTGAACTAGAACCTCATGATACAGAATTTGATGCTGTGGCCACCAAGTACAATTTTGCTTGGACAACAGATCTGTGATGTTCCAAATCACTTCTGGCTTTGGTTTTTCCCAGTACTAGTTAAATTAAAATAATGACTCTTAAAAATATTTTGTGAATGATCATGAAAGGCTCAGCAATCAGATTATGGTCAGGAGTTAAATAGGAAACCAGATGTCATTCCCTATTATTTTTTACTTGCAAAAAGGAATATGACGCTCAAATTTTCCCAAATTTGAATCTAAGGGAAATAGTTGGGAAAACACCCCAGATGATTCTCAGATAACCCTGATCCCGCACCCTACTTAAAATTTTTTTCTGTTAAGGTGCCTGAATCTTTTTTAATTATTAAAATTAAATAAACACAAATACTTTAAATAAACACTTTTAAACCACATAAATGCCACTCTCCTGGCCTCTTGGCCTTTTGACCTCTTAGCCTTTGTGCCCTTCTGTTACAAGGTAACAGATTCACTTTCTGTTAAGGGTAAGATTCACTTTCCCTTAGTTTGTGGACGCTTCGCTGGGCCTCAGACAAAATCATACATCAGGACATGCAGAGACTTGGCAATTTCCTTCATATGAAGATAGTATATTTAAATTCCCTCTAGACATCATATTTAGTGTTTATTTGGTGACTTTCAGAAATACTGGCAAAGAACGGCAGTCTGCAAACTACCGAATACTTCTCGGGGTAACATTTTTCATGTCTGTAGTTTTGTTAAGGATTTTCCAAAGCTGCATAGATATAAGGGAGTAAAGGGCTTTCCTTTAATATCCTACTTGGAGATGGTTTACACCCTCTGAGAGTACTTCTAATAAAGACTACTCAAAGCCAATTAAATAGCTACTTTTTCCTGAGAATCCAAAGAACTTTACAAATATAACTAAGAAAGTCCATTTTTAAAATGATATACATGGCATTACTTAAGCTTTACAATTCATAGAATATAAACTAATTTATTCATGTAGAGTTTTGTCATGAATAAATGTCATGGCATTGCACCTGTGTAATTGCTAGAGACTACATCATATCCGAGCCATAGATAAACCACAATTTGATTTCTCATGTCCTTGTTTTGGAACATTTGGCTGATTTCGATTTTTAATTATGACAAATTGCATTGTTTTAATACGAGTTAGATTTGCGATACATTATTCTAGATCTCCCTTTATGTTATGTTTTTGAAATACAAACCAAGAAAAAAATAAGCATTTTAATATTTGCCACAAAACAATTAAACTTTAGGAACTTTAATTTTATTTACACCAGTCCTTGCTCTAGGCCAGTTCGGTTTGGCTTCAGTTCCTCCTTTTTTAAATAATCACTTGGTTCTCCGATCATTTCTTAAGGCTTATTTTCTTATTGTGGACCCGGCTTAAAATAAAAAAAGAAATTCTTTGAACGTTACCACACAGTTATAGTTAATCACTGTTTGATCTTATACTAGTCATACATATCTTCTCTTTGAATAGCTCGTATATTGTTTTCCAGGCTGATTTTGAAATCAAGATATTTTTATGCCTGTTGCTGGTTTGTGCCCGACAGTTTGCACTAATGGATATTATCAAACAAATGCACTGGCATTTGCATTTTGCTAGATAATTTTCCCTAGGGTATTATTAAGCCTTTGCTCCTATGAACTTCATAGATTCTCTTTTCCATTATTTTCAGGCTGACTCATCCACAGAATTCTTTGCATCTCCTTGGAGTCACAACTGTTCCAAAAAATGCTCCAATTTATTATCTTCCTTCTTCTGTACTTTTTTCTGCAGCCTCATAACTCCTGATGTATTGGGTGTATCTGTTCTTTATCCTTTCTGTTTAGGATGTCTTTCCAAATCACACAGGTATATTCTTGTGCCAAGACTCTTTCACAATCATTCTATGGTCTGTTATCTTTTTGAGATCCCTGCACAAAGGATGATGGATTATTATATGCCTTCCCTCTTCATTTGTAGTCACGGTAATTATTAAATAAAGTTAAGTCATGTGCATACACACCTGCCTTCTTCCCCCTCATTCTCTCCTTATCCAGTCTTTCTCCAGCACAGGAAGGCAAGCCACCCCCGTGGGGTGATCCTGGCCATGTGCACCTGATGTGAGGTACAGACTCCCAGCAGCCATGCACAGCACCTCAGCATCAGACAGGTCTGACTTCTGGGGTTTGAATTTGCTCCACTAAATTGGATTTGCTCTTGGAAATACACCACTAAGGCATTTTCCAAGACACTTTGGTTTCGCTACATCATACATATGCCAAAATATGCATTACCGTCTCTTTCAGGGCTGTTTTTTATGACTCACGTTAGGATTTGTGATTATGACTTTCAGCCACAAAAGGTACTTTATTGAAGTTTTATTGTCTTCTCCCGTCCAGAGAATAAGTTAGGCTCTCTGATTCTTCTCGGGCTTTTATCCTGTGGTGTCCCTACTATTCTTCAGTAATTATTCATTCGTCTATTTAACTATTTATGTTCAAAGAGAATCTCAGAAGGAACATAAATTTCTTGGGCTGGCTGAAGTCCTTGTTTGCCATTGTTTTTAAAGCAAAACAATCTGTGCATCCTTTCCCTATGTGCCTGTGAAATTCTGTTCTGTCTCTAATTTGTCATTATAGCACCAACACTAGTTTGAGACTGTGTTAGTTTCACTACTGCCTTTGCCTTTGACTTTGCAAACTCTTGTACAAATGAGAACAAAATTAAAAGCTGCCTACTAACAAGCACAACCTTATGATAAACTTTTTAGTAACTAAATACCTCATTTGGAACATTTGCAGCACTCTAGGCAAGGACATGATAGACAGTACCAGACGTGAAAAGATAAATGGCATGACCCATGCTCTAAAGGAAACAGTCTAATGGGAGAGACTGCAGTTTAAATAAGTAATCAACATATGGAATGTATCAAAATACGTGCAGCAATAATGATAACAGGTACAAAAAAAAAAGAGGAAATAATACCAGGCGCTTAGCCAGGAAGTTAAGAAAGGCTCCACAGAAAAAAGTAATGTCTTCGTATTTCTAACAGTTTGTCTCGTCCATTATGCCCTCATTATATTATAGAAAATTTCTAAAATGGATAAAACATTTAAGTATATGCCTTACTCTGTCACGCAGGTAACTATTGCAAACATTTTTATGTATTTCCTTCTTTTCAGATCCTATGCCTATTTTTGCAACTTTAAGAGACAACCTTCAGTATCATTTACTATCCTGCTCTTTTCATTTACATTCAAAGAATACTGGAAATAGTATTAGATCATTTGTGGCTCCTGTGGACCTGTGACACCATAGGCAGAAGTTGATCGAGTTCAAAGTTGCCTAACTCCTGGGAGGTGGCTGCTTCTGTACAGCCTACTCTTCAAGGAGCAGGGTCTTCTCATGGCCCAGTATGAATTCACCACTGAGCTAGAACAGAACTGTGCCCTGTCCCCTTCCGTTCATTTCCTAATGATTCATTGGTGAACTGTTCACATTACACCCTCCTATCCCACTATAGAAAGCAGTTTCTCAGATGCAAATGCTTCCATTGGTTATGCAGCTCCCACTCCCAACCTCACCAGGCAACGTGTCTTGCTGACTTCTTAACATTAGAGTTGGATTACAGATAAAATCCTCTAAAACTCAAGTTATCATCTTTGGTTAATGCTCCCCCAACTTTTAACTTGTTCAGAAACAAATTACAAATTGAGTTTCCCTGATCCAAGAATCTCAAATCCAAGATGCTCCAAAATTCAAAACTTTTTGAGCACCAACATGATGCTTGAAATGTGCCAGTGAGCATCTTGGATTTCAGATTGTTAGATTAGGGATAATGCAGATATTCCAATGTATGGAAAAAGTCCAAAACATTTCTGGTCCTAAGCATTTCAGATAAGGGATACCCAACCTGGACTTTTTGTAAATAGTGTTTCCTGGAATGACTCCAGGGAGCAGTGTTGTCTGTGCTGCCTGGACTGAAATGAGATCTTATTTTGGAGGAGAAGGAGGTGGTCGAATAAAGTAAATAACTAATAACACCTATTCTGAAATAGTGCTTGTCAGAAGGTATTGCACGCCTGGTGCTTAACGTCCGCTCTTGGAGGCCAGTTCCAAATAGAGCTATAACGCCTCTCTGCACCTGCTCTGAGAAGCCTCTGAGTCGGCCCAGGGCTTGTTGGGCTTCCTCATTACAATAGGATGTCAGTTTTGCCTGAGCAAGATGATATGTTAGATCAGATAATCCTGGAGTTACTTTTTGGTGGGGGGAGGGGGACTGTATACATAAAATGTACCTTTCTAACCATTTTAAATGTACAGTTCAGCGGCGTAAAGCACATTTATGTTGCTGTGACACCATTGCCACGACACCATTGCCCCCATCCATGCTAGAATGTCTTCATCCTCCCAACTTTAAGCTCTAAATCCATTAACAGTAACTCCCTGTTGGTATGTTTTATTTTTAGTTTAGACTTGACTTTCATTAACAGAAGAAAATGTGAATGAAGGAACTTAGATTTTGACTCAAGAACCCAGTTAAAGTTAGCTATCTACAAGTTGGTTTTTACATACTCAAAGCACAAAGAATGACAACTCTAGATGTTTATATTATTATTAATAGTGCTGTCATTACAGTACTAAGGCTCTGTGCTGTAACATGACGGGTCCTGCAACCATTGCTTCCGTCATCCCCCCCATTGCTTCCTTCCTGGCCCGGTCAGTAGGCTTCTCACTCATCTCCCTGCTTCTTCT